ATCTATCTATCTATCTATCTATCTATCTATCTATCTATCTATCTATCAAAATCTATAAAATAAACAAGCTAATGAGGGACAAAAGATGAGTTGCTGGTTCCACTTGTTGAAAGCATTATTATCCTTTAAAATGCTATTTGTTTTTTTCTGTTCTTCTGAAATATAAATCTGCCTACGTCTCCAAAGAAGGAACTCTACGGGATCCAAGATAATTTGTGCATTGTGTACTCCTGGTCAACGTTCTGCGCACCTTGTAATCATTGTTGTTCGACAATGCCGTTGATGATCTGCAACTGATGAATGAAATGAGAGCGTGGGGAAACAAATCAAAGATTTCAGTGGCAACAAATAACAAGAATTCATTTTCTAATTTAGATGTAAAAATAAACAGACATATTTTCCATTTTTTGTACGTTAAGGGCTGACGGAATATTGAGTTTTGCCAATGATAATTGAATCCGAACTTAGAACACAGACTCTATGGTGACTTTGGTACATTATCAGTGTTTTGTAATCCTTTTCTACTTTAAGAACAGTTGTTGACAAATGCATCAGCAGTAAAAGTGCTGATGGCTCTCCATAGTTTTCAAAGTGTGTGGTCTTTTTATCCATCACACAGCCCGTTAAGCTAGCATGCTTGCCTCATTAGTCAGGATGATGAAAGGGGATAAAAATTTGAAGTATTTGTATCAGATTATACTTCGTCCAATTGGTTTCCCACTCTGGTCTGGGAAACACTTATGAAATCGGAAGAGGATTATGAGAGAGGCTGGGAAATTAATGTGTGCCAACTCATATCTGGGGAATTCCTGAAAAAGAAAAATTTGCCTCACAGTTATACACACAGGCGAATATTTATGGACACACACAAACACAGGCATACACACGATCACTCAAGCAAATGGCTGACCCTATGTGTTCCCACGACATGTGTTACTTCAGAGTCCAGTTGGTTGAGTGGAAAAGCCACAACAATCCAAACTGGAACATGAGAGGAACACAAATAAACACGATTGACCTAGAACAGAAATAAACCCGGACATGTGAGTGGCTTTAGTGGAAATTTGGCAATTTTACATGTATATAGTCACCAACCATTGTAGTGCTGTAACACTGCAGATAACAATCTCGGTCTAACTGACGACCTGAAATCACAAAAGCAATGTTAATCTCAACCTGTTTTTGTAAGGTTCTATATTGTTCATGCATTTTCCTCATCCACCTTTCACATTTAGGTTTGATTAGGGCAAGCGTGGAGTACTTCGACACATCCTTGTGTGGCAGGTGGAACACAGCCAGGTTACACAACATGATTATGAAACATAGACTACAGCATATAACTCAAACTATAGAGCCGATGAGATCATGAGGTTGATCGAAAAGGGCAAACATATCATTGCTTAAACAGTCCAACAGTACAACAGTCAGCCCCAAGTGAACATAGTTTCCTTTTTATATTCTCTCTTCTCTCTTTTCGATCAAATTCAGACCCTATACACAATTATGACAATTATTGTGTGAATTTGACGAGTGTAACAGAACAATCATCACTATTCTAATTTAAACTGAATTCCCACAATCTGGAATATGGAGGAAAAAAATGTGGAATTTGGAAAGCTATGATTTCTTTTATGAAAAAGGTGTGAGCTATTTCTTTTGAAGATGATATCCTTTAAACATTTCCATACAACTCCTTGGTGCATTTATGATAGGTGCTCGTTCGACTGTGGAAAAACCTAAAGATAATTTATTCCCCTGGTAAACCTTAGTGGCAGTGCCTTCAATACAAATGTGCCCATGTAGTGGGAGTTTTGTTGCAGTAATAATGCCTTCCTTTTTTCTTCTTTTTTTCCAGTTTGAGAGAAGTCAAACAACATCATTATGGCCTCAGCCCATGAGTAAAGCTTTAACATTATCACGGAAACTGTTTTGCACACTGCTCTTTGGCTTTATTTTTGCGACCCCCCGCCATCAGTGCCACTAGCGCGCCCAGCATCACACAGAGTTTGAATCTAAAAGCACCAAATACGCACCTTCTCTCATCAGAATGTGCGGAAGACACACACTGTAATGCGCTCGCTGTAAGTAATACCTTACAAACACACCTCAGGTGCCTCTCAGTTTGAGACGCAGAACCTGAGCTGCTGCATGACTCGAATCGCTCTATTATCCGGGGCTGGGATTTTTGTGAAGGCTGTATTTCTGTGTGCTGGATAAAAGGGAAAATCAATTTTGTAATACGGGTGTAATTCTGGAAAGCCTAATGAGTGTTTGTGACACAAACAACTCCCTTCAATAGACACCAGGCAAACCAGCATGGGAGGAGAAAAAAAGGAGAAAAAAGCACCGAAGGAGTGTATCAACTTTTTTTTCTCTCCCAGCTGACAAAATGGATGTCGCTTCAGTGGAAAAGGGAAGGAAAAAATCACCAGAATGCAAAGTTTGAAACATAAATTGCTAAATCGTAAATTTGCTATTTGTTTTATTTGGATCAGTTATTCCCCGTTTTTCTTTTTTTTTCAAAGCCGTAAGGACCAGATTATACTAACCTGGTGATAGACTGTGGGTGGACAGTGCTTGCCTGGATCTGGCATTGTGCAGCACTCCGTTTTGTTTTCACCCTCACTCGTCGCTGGGGAAAAGGAATACACATGGGTATAAATGGAGAATTGTGAAGGCTGGCTGGTAAAGTGTTAATGCATTTGATTATGTTTTTCACATGTGTTAACTGATTATTTCATAGCAGGTTTCTTTCCATTGCACAAAGCCTTGGAAAGCGATATTATAAGCGAAAAGCAGTGGGATAAGAAACACTAGGCCACCACTCCCCTAATTAAGCGACGCTCGTCCGCTGGCGGCTAGCTAGTATTTTGACTTTCCTCAAACTTGGGAAGCTGTTCATAAATAAAGATGAAGATATACCATTAGGGGGAAGAGAATGTGTATCGAAATCTATTTACAAAAGGTTGTGGTGAGCAGCTGTTGCTTTGAAGAGCCTGTGAGAGGGCTGCGAACCGCTGTGGACGGCGGGTATTAAAAGAGGCAGCGAGAGACTGCGGAACGGGAGGCAGAAGAGAGAGAGCTGCACCCCGACAGACAGCCAGCTTTGTTGTCCGCAAACGCGTGCGAACATCAGAGGCGACGCCATGTTTGAAAGGCTTAAAAGTGAGGATTATCATGGCACACGCGTCAACGTGGGCACGCGTCAACGTGGGCCCCCGGCGCCTCAGGAGTTGGCCCTTCTGTGACATTTGGAAAGGGCAGGAGCCGCATCGCTCGCACGCTCCTACACACTTTTTTGACCTCCACGCCATCAGGTGTCGGGCACAGCCTTTTCCCCCCCCCGGCGCGGGAGTTCAATACTCAGATTGACATCAGGAATCCGGATTAGCTTTGCCCCTGCAGGCTTTGGCCAGCGCACAGTCGTTTCACCAAGCTGTCCCACAGCCCATGGGGGGGCCCCGCATACACACACCAACCAAACATCCCTCCATGTGGTATTGGCACACAAGGACTGCATACCAGTGTATTGACTGCACAATAGTTGTTTGACACACGAGGATAAGCCTTTGTATTACACGTGACCCCTCAACTAAAGGAACAATTGTATATTTTTTCAGTTAGGACCATGTATGTGTGTCTTTAAGAGGTGATGGTGTAAAGGCTTTACCCCTGGTATAAGTTAATTAGGTCAGCGATGTGACACAATAATGTTTCGCTATCCTCTAAAAATCCATATGTCGCTTTATGTCTGCCATAGAGTGGAGAATAGTTGAGAAAGTGCCTCAGTAACAAAACTCTCCCCCATCCCCGACTGCCTGTGCAGTCTTACATAACGATGCTTCATGAGCCACCTCACAGCAAGAGAGTTTGCTCAGTAGCGTTAAGAGGCATTTCTTCCGTCTTTCAAAGTGCCAGATTTAGCTGCGGATTGCAGGCTTGACCAGCGCTCTTCTCGCCAGTCAGTCAAAATCAGATCATTGATTTCTTTGATGCGGGGTTTGAAGAAAGGCCAAGCTAAAAAGTGTCTGAACAAAGCCGCAGACTACTCGACTGATTTAGCACATGACAGCGTGTCAGACCTCTATGTCTCCTCTATTAGAAATGCTTTGTCCCATGATCTCCCCCTATTTATATTTAACAAGGAAATCTGGATGCCTCTGCAGCCATGGTGTGCTTTTCATTCTGAAAGGTTAGAAGAGGAGCTGCAGCTCTGAGACTCAGATCAACACAGCAGGCATGGCTGTTTTTATCTCCTCTGTCTGTCTGAGAGACTGCAGCTCCTCAGCTTCGATGAGTCACTCACCAGGATGCAGCAGGAAACGGTGCATGTCTACTGCCACCTTGTGTTTGCTGCTGTTTTCGTTTTGAGATTCCAAGTTTGAGGCATTTGCTAAGAGGTGCTACGGCTAAACCATTTTTTTTCCTATCTATGCAATTCAAGTTCTAATCTAATCATAACTTTTATTGAATAATAAAAGGAAAGATAGCTGTACATTGCATCGCCATGGATTTTTGTGTCACGATGGAAGGTTAACTCCAAAACAAGAGTCGATAAACCAAAAAGGTTGGGTAAGATGAAAAATAAACCATTACGTTTCCAGTACAGGCTCCCTTAAAATATTAGTTTTTGCCCAAGGTTGTGAGGGGAAGTTCATGACTATATTGAATTTCCTATCATTTCATACTTATTCATTATTAAAATATTTTTCCCCTTAAATTCTACTAAATAAAATAAAAAAACAATAACATATGTAATTTAAAACCATGTTTAGCTATATAACCCTCAGGGTAAAAGAATCAGAAACACAATTTACAGTACAGACCCCTTTTTGGACAGTATCAGCCTCTAGTCCCTTTGGGACTTTCTAGAGTCTGAAGGGTTCAGGTCAGAGGCCTGAAAACCCACGCATGAGACAGACACGAAGAGAGATTTTTTATTTGCTTCAGAGCGGCTTTGTGGGCTTTTCGTGCGTGTGTTTGTATGTGTGCCCATGTTATACTTTCGATTCTGAAACACTGAACTGCCAGTGAAGCCCAGGCACGTTGACAGGTGGTGCGCGCACCCTTACTCATACCTTTGTAATTGAAAGCTGCCACTCAGAGACTCTCCCTCTGCAGGGATTTGCACTTGGCTACGACTCCAGGCCTTCGCAGCTCTTTGATATGGCACCCTCCCACCTCTGCCTCTCTGTTGCTGAAGTACATCCTACACCTCTCTGGATGGCTCCCTCGTAAATGCACACAGTGCACACCTGCAAATAAGTCCCTCAACTGTGAAAAACAACTAAACGCTGAACCTCTGCAGATTAATATTGAGAGCATGGGTGACTCCTGAAATGAATATTTCAGTCTCCAGTTCACTCGAGACTGACAGCATCAATCTAATTGGCAGTTGCTGTATGTAGAGGTGGTGGAGCCTTGAAAGTAAATGTACAGTCCAGACCTTTGAAACTGAAAAGCTTTCAATCTGTTACATCAAGTCACAAAAGCTTCTCTCCCCTTCTACTTGATGTTTCATCTTGGTTTTGACTAAATTATTAATCATCGGCGAAGGCCTAATTATGGGCCTACATTTTGGGTTCAAATGTAAAACAGACCTGATTTACAACCCATTCTCATTTTGAAACCACAAAATTGGACAGTATCTCTCCAAAGGTATTCTCTTAAACAACATAATGGGAAAAAACAAATAAATAAAAAATCTCAGGACCAATCTGCATGCTTTTCCAACCAGTTAGGTTTCAGGGTTTTACAGACGTATGTGACCACTTCTCGGCCCAAACACGACGCAAACCAATACTAGGTTCTGAGCGGCTGCAGGGTGTTTCGGAATTCGTGACGTAACCGACTCGGATGACAGCGCCATGGCAACACGAAACATCACACCGGAGCCTTTAAACAATAAAATCTGCAGCATTGTGCCTCCTGATTCCAAGTTTGGCCCCAACAGGTACTTCATAAGCACTTCATATTATTTATTACACATGTTATCCTACCTTCTCATCTCCCTATGTGGTCAATTGTTGATAATCCAGCAGCAGGAGAAGGCTGCTGTCTTGTGGCCATATACTACTGGCACAGCGGTGTGTCGCTTGTCACCACAGAAGGATAACTGGCAATATGCGGCTGTGGCTCAGTTCCCTGCGCGGCGTTGGAAAGTGATGACAAACGGGTGTCGTGTGCATTGAAAACCGACTCGAGAGGCTCCTGACAAAGCGACAGCATTTGACAAGTTGGGAATGAGAATTTGTTGGCTCATTCACAGGACAGCGGGACCGGAGCACGAGGTAAGGAAAGGTACAGTAAATCGCGCACTCGCCGAGCTCCCCAGCATAGCGCCTTGTCAAGGAGGAGCAAGAACATTAATGGGAAGCAAAGGCCCGTGATCGGACAGTGGGGGGAGAGCTCTCAGCCGGTTTCCTCAAGCTAAGCATGGATGGAGAGGGTGCTCAATTCTGCCGAGACAAGAGGGTTGACTTTATCCTTTGACCCGTTATCCTGTTTCACATAACTAAGATGTATTATTTGTGCTTATTGAGGGAGCAGCGAGAGTGGAAGCCCAAAGTGGAGTCGCTGACTCTGGGAAAATGTCTAACCGTGGTCTTAATAGTGGAATCCCATTTGTGTCTCCAGTCCTGGCTTGAAAGATCCAACGGCGCTGCCAAAACAAAACTCAAAGCTTCATGTTCTGCCAAACAAATTGCGAGTGGAGACGGCAGCGAGGATGCTGGCAGCGCTTACCACCGCATCAGCATCACGGGTGAGACAGACAGCACAGCGGGGCAAGAGCCAGTCCCTGTATGCATCCGCTATGACAGGAGAGTGGGTGAGCGAGTGAGACGAGACTGTTTTATGCAGAGGAAAAGGAAATGTGTAGCTCCAAGACGAAATATGGCCCTTTCGTCTGTTTGTTCTTTAACCTTTTTTAACGTCCTCTCAGATATCTCTCAACACAAAGTTTTTTATTTTCTACAGACTCCACGAGAGCAGCAGACTCCAGCTGATTTTTACAAACACTGTTTGATTATCTACAGTTATTATATTGATTATTATTTATCGTGATTAGCATAAATTGTACAATTCAGCTACTTGCCTTATACGTCCGTGTCTTTTTTTGCTTTAATACCAAACTCAAGAGCTCTTGTGAAATTGTTAGTGCAGAAGAGCTGCTACAATGATGCCTAATTCTAAATTATTCATTCAAAAGGCTCATTCAAGAAAATGGACTGTCCAGATATTTAGAAATGGACAAGGTAGGGGACTCATTTTGATTTGCATACGTGCTTTTGTTAAGCAGGCATTCAGTACATTTGATGGCCAGTGGGCCCTATTCATAAATGTTGTTATAGACACAATAGAAAATTTGACAATTTCAAATTATGTATAGAAAGCAACTGTCAAGCATGACACAAGTCTTGAGGAACCTTGCATTGAAATTTGATTGAACCACATTAAGAAAATAACAAAAAACATTTTTAAAGAAAAGATCTCACAAAGAATCGCTTTGAAAAGTTACCTCTCCAGAGTTCATTAAAAAATCATTTCAGCAATAGAACTGAAACATTTCAAAAGGAAACAAAAGCACAGAGCAGACAGAGGAGAGCGAGCCGCAGATAAGGGAAAACAAACCTGATGAGTCAGGGGAAAGCAGCCTTTGACCCACAAAGGTGTAAGAAAGAAATTTGTTCAAACAAATAGACGAGAGAAGGAGATGAGTCAGTGCACGATAGCGTGGAACCTTCTTTGCAGAGTAACAGGGCTGATGCACCTCTGAAACAAAATAGGGGTGAAACTAAAACATTGCCAAGTAGGTTTGTATGTTTATGACACAATTTTATGCTGTCATGTTTGGTCGCACTGCACTCTGAACTTACTCATGAGACATACCTACTCACTGTTTCCAATTTGGTCTCTGAGCTTGAAAAAGATTTGTTTAGTTTTTTGTTTCTTTCTTTCTTTGTTCCTTCTTTCTTTATTTGTTTATATATTTATTATCTTTCTAGCTATGGCAAAAGGATCATTTGGTGTCTTATGCACCAAATGCTTACCTAACTTTACTTGATTTATGCCATAAATTCTCTGTTATTTCCTTGCTATGTTAGTGAAACAGCACAGACAACAGCTCAAATCACAGAAAGTTCTTCCCTTTTATTTCTGGAGTGGGAAAACCTCTTTCAGAGATCCACCTGGGCAAAATAAAAACAAGAACTAAAAAAGATAAAAATGTTAGTTCATAGGAAAGGACAAGCTCATAAGAAAACACATTAAGAAAAGATTCACTTGCAGAAGGTGTTATGCATAAGTACATGTTTGTTGACTACTGTTTGCAATTACAATTTACAGTGAATTTGCAATTACAGTGAAAACATTGTTTCAATTGAATTTAATTCAAAATAAAGAGTCACCCGAGAAGCGAATGAATACATCTGAAGATGTCTCCATATGTTCTGAGGTAGGATTTGATTAAGTCTCGCTTCAATGTTTTCATTGGATTTGTAAAATTCTTATTTTTATGTTTGGTGTCACTTGAGTTTTAGTTTTTTCTTTCTTTTCATTTTTAAGTGCTTATCTATGTGTGAATTCCACTGAATTTTTGCCTTCCTATCAATTTAGGTTTCAGTATTTGAGTCATTACCTCCTGTAGTAGGCTATGTACCGTATTCATCAAGGTTTTATACTTTCAATTTTCTATCTGCTGCAAGCTCTTTTTTTTGTAGTCCCTGCATTTTTCTGCAACTGTGCCACATCTTTTAACATTTAAATGCCCTGCTCATGCAATGGCATTTTGGAATATTGAATACAGAAGGTCTTATATTAGTGGAGGCGTTTGTAATTAATGAATATTTCACTAATCACTTGCAAGGTTGAATACTCACATTATTTTCCTTCCCCACAGGGATTTGTTTGTGTGTGCACATCTTGTCAAGTAACTTAAAGCCTGTTGACTATTAATAAAGACAGGGACATCAGGCTTGAGTAATTAGTCTGTTAACGAGAGGCTAAATAACTGAGCTTGGTCTTGTAGGTCGAAAATCAAAAGATAGCTTTCTCTCATGGAAGAGCAAAAATATGCTCAGTTCGTAGAGGAAAATAACTCCCTTCGTTATTTGCGAGCATCAGACATATGCCGCCAAGCATTGGAAACAGAGCTTGCCAGCTATTTCTTCAACTCAGCGGGAGAGGAGAAGACACAGATCCGTGAATCCATTTTTCGAGGCCTGGGAGTCCTATGGTGAAAAAACATCAGTATCACAGTGCTGATCTTTTCCCTCGTTCTCGCCCCACATGTAAGAAAATCACTTAGTCTCAATTGTACAGCTGAGCTTTTGTGTTCAAAATCAAACCAAGCCATACGGCTGACACCTGCTAATTATAAAAGAAAACGCAGACATATCTGGGTGGCACATTTCTTTACATATAATATGATTGATCTTCTAAAATCATTTGAGAGTGGCTGAATATATGACCACTGTATTGTTGTGGGAGGGGGGATGAATGGACACAATGTGTTAAACAAAATATTATTTTAAAAACGCATGAATTTTCTAGGCAAGTCAAAAAAATTCATTAAAGTTATACTTACTACTTTAACTGGAAAATCACACGAAGTTGACATTGACAATTAAGCTGACAGTCTAGCTTTATCCAACTCATTGCCTCCACTAACTGTGGGCAGTGGTAAAAGGGGTGAAAAATATAATGAAATACATGACAGCCGTGCTGTTGATTTGATTTCTCCTTCTGTTGACTGCTTTCCAACTGACACCAGAGGGGCTTTTAGTATTCTGATGTGAACAACATTACTTGGAAGGTTGAGTTCTGCGTTACCACCTGCAGAGATGAGGATGGCGACTACAGCGGCGCTCTGATAGGACAGGCCGCCGCTGTGCGGTTGCGGGGCGTCGTGCTTCAAGCACCAGTCAAGCAAATTATCCTCCTTTTTGAGGAAGCTTTTTCAAATATTAATAACAATAAATAAATCATCATGAGGCATTTCAGTGGCCCTCAGTGCAGCACTTCGAAAGCGTGGGCTCAGTTTATGAATGTGAGTGTGTGGTTGTTTGTATCAGTTTATGAATGTGAGTGTGGGTGGTTGTTTGTATCTGTGCGGCCCTGCGATGGACTGATGACCTGTCCGGCGTGTACCCCACCTCTGGCCCTTTGTCTGCGCCCCCCCTCCTCCCCCACCTTTTCATATTGGCTATGACAAAAGAAATTTAAAAAATGGATGGACCAACAGAGAATTACTTATCTGCCCTTCCTCTACTGTCAGTTTCTTATCTGAAATGAAGTGCGTCTTTATGATTGTTTCTTTTCAGCCAACTCTTTATTAAACATGCCTTAAGCTGCATGCAGAGACATAGAGAGTGACTGCAAAATATAACCTCATGTGCTTTAGGATAATACTTCTAGAAAACAGACTTTGGATTAATGCTACCAAGACATATACCTACAAAGCCTATTTTCCTATAACAGGAGTTTTGTGATCAACTCCAGTTAGATCCGAATATAACGACCAACTAACCATCTATACATGAGAAGATCTTATCAATTTCATACTAAAATTGTGTTAAAGTTCATCCTGAAATTTCTTCTGTGAGGCAAGATTTGCTGACACAAAGCAATGACTATTAATGGGCGAAACTTTTGCTGCCATACTGTTTCACCTTGGCTATGAACAAAAGATAAAAATAAGTCATCGTAGTAAATCAAGATGTGTCACTTCGTTAATTTTAATAAAGAATCATGTACAGTCTCCAGTCTCCACTGATGAACACTTCTCACAGGGCAGATGGTGGACCGATAACGATCAACTTCTTTTCAGAAATTTAAATTCACACTCTGGCATCTTCATTGACAGGGCTGAGGAAATGAAACACGATGGAACAGGAATACCAATAAGTTATCACTTGCTGATAGCAATAATCAAGCCAACTCTGCATCCGTCTATCATCCTGCTGTTTTATCTGAACTTTCAGCCTGAGAATGTGCATCGCAAATGTTGGCGAACTTTAAAACTAGTCAGAAGCACTTTTTAGATTTGAGATTCAGAATTTCTTATTATTTCCAGCGTGCTTTATTCAGTATAATATTAGTTGATGTAACGCTGTACACTGGTGGTACCTGATTTACATGATTTGGTGAATCCCTGACACTTCATTCCTTCAACATTCGACGACCTCCTCACAGTTTTAACGATAAATCCCAGCCACTTAAGTGTACATTTTCCACCATACTCAGTTACTCTGATTTACACTCGCATCCGATAAAGGACCCAGGTTTTTTATCTCGAAACACGTAGAATGTTGATGCCAACCAATGGACAGAATGTTTAATGCAGCTTGTGTGGCCCTAAATGGGTTAGCGCACACTGAATAATTTATGTGGACTCACTTGCTCGACTACCCTGCTGAATCATTAATTAGGAGTTTAAGAGGTGCTTATTTGTTCCATTGCAAGAAAATCAAAGTGAAAAACGTACGCACATACACATACAGGAGTGGAGTGTCGTTAATCAAGGATGGAGAAAAATCCAGGTTACAATCTGTAAAAACATACATGTATTGCATATAAACTGCAGACATCCCTCTGATATATATATATTTCTTTTAATATAGAAAATGTTAAAGCTCTTTATAGTATGCAACAGGGGCAAATAGAGGACACCATGTTGTAAATGTAAAAATCTATCCAACATAATAAACCTTCACACAACACACACTCTCATTCAAATGTGAATATCTGTGTAGAGTTCCTGATAATGTACTTTATGCTCTCAAGTGTTGTGCAGGGAGAAAAAATCTATTTAGCCGTGCAAAATCTGAAGGCGCAGTGTCTCTCTTTTTTTCCCTCTTCTTTTTAATGGTGAACAAATACTTGAAGGCAATTGTGTGTGTCCCTCAAAGTGTTTCAAAATTTGGTAACCAAATGTTCGCTGCAATGGCTCAACATAAGATATTTTTCTTTCCTTTCAAAGCATGTTATCTGCCAACCTCCAGCCCCGACGCCGCAGATACATCTTTTAAACAAAGTCAAATGTTGAGCAAAAGTACTTAAGATTTGAACCCAAGCTCTCTGTTGCTTTAATCTGACAGAACGCTGAAAGAGACACGCGCAGCAACATAGAAATCCAGTGGAGCAAAGGGTTGATGTGCTTTGCTCCACAAAGTGACTGAATTCACAAAGAAAACGCTCTGACAGTATCTTCAAGCCAATCAAACTCAAAAGGGAAGCAGTGAGACACTTAATGTTCACATCTGAGGAGGCGAGGTTGAAACTAATTCCTCCTCAATTCCGGGATAACAGCAAAGAGAACGTCTGGCTTTTGGAGCAGAGCGTTTATTTGGAAGAAACGTCCTCGACTGGAGGACATTTGTCTCGAACTGAATAACGGCTCTATTCTACAGCCCACCACACTTTGTCGCTTCTGGTGGCTTATCCCTCTCTTTTTTTTATCTTTGGATGACTGAGTTAAATCTGCCTTATCTCACCTCCTCTATCATGTTATTACAAAGTGGTGAGGCTGCCTTCCCTCTTCAGTCAGCAGAATTCAGCCTCAGTAAGATGAAGTTATACAGCTGTCTAAATCGCATGAGCAACAACAATTCACCAAATTCAGACTCCCATACAGGACGTAGGGACAAGTGAGATTAAAACATGCTCATTGATCAGTGGACGATAATGATTTTAGGGTCATTGTGGCTAAATAAAGGAGCAAAATTTGAATATGATTCCATGGGTTCCATCAGAGAGAGTGGATTTTCTTCTTGAAAGATGAGGGAAGACTGCAACGGGCTTAAAACACACTTTGACCGGGGCATTCGCAATGATGGCTAAAACTGGTCAGCCGTGACATTATGAACTCTGGAACACGAAGTGTATCAGACAGCAAATGAACATTCTGACCATAAGGTGATGTGTTTTAATCAGATCAGTTGGGAAGTGCCAGGATTTGAGTGAAGGGGGTAAGGTTATGGCGAGGTTGATAGGTTGTAACACGTCTACAGGTACAGCCCGCTCAGGGATGTAAAAACTGAAGAAAGGTTAACAGGGTCATAGATAGCCATGGCTAATTGCTGGCATGGGTCGGCATGTGTGTATGATCTGCGTTTACCTTTGTGAAGAGAAGCAAAAGTAATTCACTTTAGCAAACAAGCTGTGTAGTGTTGTAGGCAACGTTCTGCTTGAGAGGCTCTGGTCATGAGAGCGGAAAGCCCTAATGGCAGAAGTCTCTTTCAGCAGAACATTGTCCCCTGCGATTCTGGAAAAATCCTTTGAGAATCCAAATACTCTGTGTAATTGGAGGTCCTATCAAGCTAGTCCAAACCATGAAGGCTCCATCTAATAACTCACAGGGCATAAAGCATCTGCTACTGATGACCTTGTACCAAATACATATCTGATATGTCTTTTAAACTACTAAACCCCTTTACTTTTATGTATTTAGCAGCACATTACTCACAGTTATAAGAATACTTATGCTTTTCAGAACTAAATGTGAATCCAAAGGTCCAGTAATTTTTTCATGTGGGATTGGGGGAATATAAAAGATCAGGTTGCTGTATGTTAAAACCATTTATGATGAAGTTGGGGGGTATATGAGCATGTTTACATATAGGCCACTCCTTGGCTTTGGTGCGTGTTTAATTTTTAACATGAAGCCTTGTGAATTGAAGATCAAACTAGTATAAGATGTTCAAACCTTTAAATTAAAACAAGAATAACACAGAATATATAGTTTAACAGCCATATCGTTGTTCAAAATCCCAATCCTTTTTCTGTAAAAAGTTAATCGACTCATGTTAGAAAGATGTCACATACCTATGATATTCTATTACCTTCTAAACTCGCTGATCTCTGAATCTGAAAATGAGTTCATTCTTGTTTTCACCATTCTGAGCAGTAACATTTCTTGTTAGTCTAAGTAGTAGAAGTAGTAGCCTTATTAAACCACCAGGTGGAGGTAGTACGCAACTTTCTGTAAAAAAAAGAAAAAAAGTACTTGCAATAAGATACAAAATGTTTTGTTCGCAATATAGTCTGAAGATACTTCAAGTAACAAAGGGCATTATCTTAAGAGATGTTTTTTTTAAAAATTTGTATATATTTTAAATAAACTTTGTTTCCTCACAGTGTGTGTTGCAAATTGTTGCCATCTCAGGGGAGGAAAGTCCTGGGGCCTAACTGTCCTGAACTTACATCATTGGTACTTTTTTACGGAACATTGGGACTCACTGCTATATATAAAATGTGTTTTTATCATATTAGGCCTCATTCATGCTACTTCATGGTCATGAGGTGGACATGTTGGATTTTTACAAGTATTTACGTTATATTTCACGACGAGTATTAGATTACAATTTAGTTATTTTTCTAACATATAATCGTTGTAAATAATTATTTCTTCCAAACTTCTTAACAATTTGAATTTCATTAATAAATAATAGGTTGGTCAAATATTTCTCTACTTCCTTTTCTATTCCTTTTGTTCCGTACGCGGTGACGTCGTCCAAGGATTACAAGCCGATTGACAACAAATCGAACAAGAAACGGAAGTGCTGTGTAGGTGAAAAAAACTTGTTTGGAGTTAGCCAACGCGTGAACTTATGTTAGAAAGAACGGGAAAATCTTTTGTTTGCTGAAACTGTTGCTCTGTTTTACGTCCTACATCAGAAAGTAGTCCTCTCGGACTAACTTGTCACTTTCCCAGGGTGATATCAGCAACAACGCGCCAGGTAACGTTCCCCGAGATCCTATTGAACTGACCATGCTAACGCTAGGTTAACAGCTAAGGTGCAACATAATGTTTGATGTTTTTGTCGTGTCTTAAGTTGTCTTCGTTATTGGCTTATACTGTTACGTCAGAATCAACAGATAATGCTAAATATTTAAATAATTGCGTAACCGTATCGGCTAACATAAGCTATTTCCACGTTGGTTTGAAATATTACGGGTAAATGTTACCGGAAGCTAACACTACCAGCTGTTATAGTTTATGGCCGTTGAATATTCTTCAAAATTGACAGGTGAGTTACGTTGATGTTGAATATAGGGGTTTGACCTGCCATATACCTTTCTAAGATATGGTCAATTTCTGCTGTGGTTATGAGGTAGCAGAGCTTAACATTTGAACCCAGCGACTGATCGATATCCTGTAGGGAAGACGTTGAAGCCAAATGTTCTCCCCCAAACAGTCCATCTATGTCCCGGTTCATGATTGTATACATTACTAAGTTACTAAATTATATGGGAAAGCTCAAATAGGCTCAAATGCTTGAGTGATATCAGTGGTTTCATTTTATCATGTTATTTTTTAAGCAAAGTTAAAATAACCTTAGTCCAAAGGAGCTTTGTATAGCAGCCTTTTGCAGAGTCTCCATTCCTGAGTTTTTTTCTGTTTTCTTTCTTTTTCTCTTTTTACCCAGGATGGATCCGGCTCTACTTCGTGAGAGGGAACTGTTCAAGAAGAGAGCTCTTTCCACTCCAGCCGTCGAGAAGAGGCAAGCCGCATCTGAATCCCATAAGAAAAAGAAGCCCAAGCTAGACAAGGAGAGCTCCTCTGGGTCTAAACACACTACTGGTAAGTAAAGAAAATGACCCTTATGTGGTTTATGCTGTTACAGAGAGCAGTCAATCTTTCTCTGAAAATGGTAATGTCCATTATCATTAATCATATCCCAATAGATCTGCTCTCATTTGCATCATTTTCTGTTTCCTTTGTCGGGCAGCTAACTTTAGCCCATTTAAACAATGGGACATCTTGCTGTCTCTTATTTGAGCTAACTTTCATGGCATTCCAAGCGGTCTGTGCCCTGAACTCAAGTGTGCTTTGTGGGTTCAACATGTCCTCAGGGGAGGCGGGATGTGACAGAATTTCTTGGAAGATTGCATGTATCCTGGGACAGTGCGATAAAGGTTGATTGGCTAAGTCGAGCCTTGACCAAAGCCTTTTATGTTTAACTGGAAGTGGACTTCTGATGGTAGACTAGAGCTATTCAGTCTGCAAGCCTGTCAAGGCTTCTTATTTAAAATGCTCTCTAATTTCTTAAGCTGTCTTGGCATTTTGTGGGTCTTTCCAATAATTTTCAGCCAAAATACTTCACAAGGCTGATTTCATTGTTCTTCGTTCCTTGTTTTTTTGCCCCTGTCAGAACCACTTATTCAGCAACAGCAGGAGTCTCATTGTTTCAAAACAGCATGCAGTAACAGCGATTAAGCCTCTGTCAGCGTTTCTAGTAACGATATTGGGGCTTTTCCGTCTACATTTCTTCGGGTAGCGATGGTCAAACCCTCGAAGACAAGTACTAATTTTCAAAACTAATTGGACTTTGTGATGAATTTAACACAGTCTGGATAACATCTTAACAAATGGAACCTATTCTTTTTAACAATTTAGCTTCAGGGCTTTTTTATTTTTAATGTAAAAACAGAATGTAGTTATGTGCCTCCATCTTGTGATTGGAAAATAGTACAGTCTTTGTTTTGTGGTGAATTTCAGTGAAGAGACTGTCTAGAAATGGATCTTTTTGATGCATTTATAAACTATCATTAGCAAACAGTACTTTATGTAATCGTCTAAAAATATATTTTCAATTGTGCATTAACAATCATTGATATTTAGTTTTTTGTTATCCATCTTTGCAAGCTCTCTCTGTCTTAAAGCCACATGAAGAGACGTAGGCTGCTTCTGGCAGAAAATATATCTGAAATTGCATTTGCAGCGTTCAAATCGAGTCCAGAAATATTTTCATTTGGTTTTATTAATTACTGAGGCAATCTTTTTAAAAATAACCATAACTTCCATACGGGAGCTTGCAGAGTTCCATCTTTTAATGGCAGAACAGCAGTCGATGCCTTTGTGAGGTGCGCGCGTACTGAGCCTGCACAGGTCCGAGCTGTGTTGGAGGGTTTCGTAGTGCAGCTCCCTGTGATGGTAGCTGGTGTGGAACAGCTCTCTGTGTGGCATACCCTGTGTGGGGGGAGTGTTGGACACTGCCAAAAAAAGAGTGTGAATATCTGCCATCACAACATGCTCGAAAATCCCTCCCCCTCACTGAATAAGCAGTGCCACAAATCTAACTCTGCTCCCCTGATGCCTTCACTCTGAATCTTTTTAGTCACACTGATATCATGAATATCAGCCAGGGCATTTATATAGGCGTCTTCTTTTTTTGTATTGGATGAAATAGCTCTTCAGTTGTTCCAGTTCCTCCTGATAAAGCTTGAGTTCCTGCTGCTAAATCACTGCACCGCATATTGCTCCTAAACAGAAGCAATCCAATGTGCCCAAATTCGAGCCGCAGCCAGTTATCGCCCCATGGCAGCGTGTCAGAAAAAACAAACGGGCGAATCTGAACTATTTCAGTGGACCTTTATTAGGCAGTGTGTGCTAAGGCCTATGACATGGTACATTGCGCTCAGTATGACATCATAAGGTATATCACTGTGCAGCTACTAAAGTCGTGATGAGAAAAATATTGCATGGCAAACACGCTGTACATCCGCGGTGTGGTGGCAAACGGGCATCACAGGCTTCACCCAAAGCGAACATGTCTCAGCTCAGCTTTGTCCATTTAAACAAAGACATTCAAGTCTTCAGTGTGGGGCAGCATTTTTATGTAGAGCACAACTCGTAAAAGATCAGCTGCATCCAGCAGGTCACATTTACACATATATACAAAAAGCCCAGGACCATTGTCTTTGAGAATGAACCCTTAGGTTTGTTTTTAGCCAGTGACATCTTACATATCTGATTGGTTTTTATTTATTCATCTCTCTTTACATACAGTATTCCGAGCAAGCAGCTTCATACTCTCTGTAGGAAGAGAGAATGCCTGCCTGCTGTATTCTGCCCCCGCCCTCATACTTAAGCAGCAGATGCATGTTTTGTATGGTTTTATATCCAGGTGCTTTCTTTTTTTTGTGTACTTTGTTATGTACAGCATTTTACAGTTTGTTTAAAGATGATGGATGTGCAAGGGATGCTTCCTCTTGACTTGAAAGAATAGCCTGGGTGTTCTTCCCTTTTGTGTGAGTGTGTTTTTTGTTACTCTATTTTGTCTCCTTTTGAGCTTTCGTACCCTATACCACCTCGGTGTGGGATTCTGGCTCCTTGCAAATGCTGGTCATGAGCTTGCTGCAGCTTCCCGGCCCCTCTTCCTGCAGCTGGTGGTGCGTCTTCCCTTTGGCGCAGCACCCGCAGTCCAGCAGCTCGTAGAGAACCGCCAAGGCGGCCAGAGACAGGACGGTGAGGATGAAAAGCAGGAGGATGATGAAACAGGCCACGTTCCAGCCGTCGTGGAAGGGGTAGACCTCTTGGACTTGCAGGGAGACGCGGGACAGAGGGACGGCCTCGGGGCGCCACGGGAGACTGCTGGGGTGCACGGTTGTTGTGAGGTTCGCCATGATCTCCAACAGTATGGATCAAACAAGGCTGAAAATGTAAAGGAAGACGGGTTAGAAAGAAACGGCCTCTCGGAGGGCATTCTCTGTAATTGGATTCTGCTGGCGCTGTATCACTAGCGTTCGGTAACCCGAGAAGGCACTCTGGAATCTGAGTAAAGCACCTACCGGAGGCTACAGCTGAAAGCAAGAGATGGGCTTTTAAAAAAGCTGGGTGTCATTCCTGATTTAAACAGTTGAAAGATGTTCTTCAGAAGGCCCGTGGTCAGACCACCTGTCTCTCTCCAGTCGTCCCTTCACATTGTCACCCAACACCCACCATTTCAAATCCTCAGCCCATGTCTAACACACACCATCACAACGCACACTGTACGCACGGAGAGGCCGATGACCCAGATTGCCCAAGCGCACCAAACCAAGTTGAGGAGGAGTAGCGGAAAGCGCCTCTGTGCACTCGCCAGTTTTTCTCTGGTAAATTTTTTATGCCCGTTCCCACAGAAAGCTGCGACCTCTGAGTGATGCAGCCATGTGGAGAACAGGCACATTTTACTAATCATCTGTGTGTGTTTTAAGAGTAACGGCCACACTGGGCTTCATCGGTTGCACCTGTTTTTTTGGGGGGTTTTTCCAGCTATTTCTATTTCGTCCGTCTGTCCAGCAGGAAAAAAAACAAAAAAAGGAAGATTCCTGTGGTGCTGATGGTTTAATGGTGTTTGGTCGATGCCCTCACCTCACACAGTCCACGCTTGGCATCAGTTTACCTCCAACTCATTGCCATGGCAACAACCTCTTTAATAAAAACGAATTGCTTGCACTCCGGGATCTTTCCTCTGCTCCTTTCCTTTTAGTCTGAGTAACAACACACATAATGAGGACGGTCTGGCTCCCTGCAGCATCTGTTACCCCCCCTTTTTCCAGAGTGAGCCCCACCCCAGCCATTGGCCAGCAGGCTTCTGGGGGATATTACCCTGGACTCATCAGCTATGAACACACGCATCAGACTCCTAATGCCGCCTGGCTGCCTGCAGCCTTCATTGATTTGTCATGAGAGCCGTGCTGAGTCGTGCATCTCCACAAAACACAGGCTCGATGCCCGTGAGCACACACACACGCCGACACAGAAAGAGACGGTCTGGTGCAGCTCAGACACATCCATGTTTATTTAATCCAGTGAGTGGGTGTGCTGTCTTAGCCTCAATAATAGTCTTTACATTTAACACTTGTTTTTTTGTCTCAAAGAACATACCATTATGAACACATTGTTAGGTGAAAACATTCACAGTTCTAGGTTTTTTTGTATTTTAACAGCTTTGTAAATGCGTTTAAACGTGTCCGATCCCCCAACTCACACTGGAAGGCACAGAGTCCAGGAGCAGCCTGCGTCTTGAAATTCAAGCTGTGGCTCTCTCAGATCGGTCGATATCAAACACCCTGCTGCTATGAAAAGAATTCTGCGCTGCAAAAACCCCCCGCAGACTCACCTGCGCGCGTGCGGCTCAGTCTGCCGGAGATGAGAAGTCTCTCCTGCCTTTCAGTGCTCCGCCTTTTTCTCTCGCTCCTCCACTCTGTCTGGATCACGCCTCGACCTGCTCTCCTCCCTGGCGCACTCGCGCACTACCCGCCGTCCCTCGTGCACCCGCTCTCCTCCTCCTCCTCATCCTCCTCCGCCACTCCTTGCAACTCTTCATGTCTCCGCTGAACAGAACAGCCCCCCCCCTCACCGGTCATTGGCTCTCTTCTTTTACCCCCCAGCCTGCGCGCCATTCGTCAGCCGCCCTGCCACAAATTCCAGCTTCCGGCCCCCATTGTGTGGCTCCCAGCCTCAGGGGTTACCACCCACACCATTAATCATTCAGGAGTCTGTGTCCCTTTTTCAGTTTTGATTGAAAGCTCTGAGTCCAGAGCTAGAGATGTGTGTGTGTGGGATCTTATTCTTATCAGATCACTCTTTCATGTGACTGTAGGATTATTATTGTTAATATTAAACACAGGTCATTGTTTGATTGGTTTGCTGCCTTAAATGCTCCTGAAGTGTTTGTCTGTTTGTGTGTGTTTATATATATATATATATATATATGTGTGTGTATAGTATTCCCTGTCTGATAATTTACTGCCATCATAAACACGTGGTTCTTTGGTTTTCTCCACAGAATCCTCCAATGGGAACTTCAACATCAAGGCCAGCTCTGGATACAAGTTTGGCTGCTTGGCCAAGATCGTCAACTACATGAAGGTAACCACCGAGGAGACATTTTTGCTGGAACACACCGGCTCGCATAGAGGGAGGTGGTCATTGTATGTTGTAATAAAGTTCATATTCCCCCCCCCTGCTGGTTGAAGCAGCTCACATCAGCATCCGCTCAGCTTTCAGACTTTAAGCACGTCGTCAACTCCATCGGAGCTTCAGGGAAATGTAACTCGCAGAATGAGTCACTTGCGTGTTCCGAGGAGCATTTGGCCCCCTGCCTTTCCCTGGGAACACAAACAGCTTGTTTATCATGCTTGGGCCCCATCTGAGTCACCCCTCTCTGCTGAACTCGCACTCGGCTTGGCAGGTTTTGGTTTGAATACGTGCACTCCTTGTGCCATCTGTCTGTTCGCACCGGGCCTTAATCTGTTTAAAATCCCTCAGCAGTGGCACCCTTAATTCTAGGCAGTTATACAAAATAAAAGAGTTTTGTACCTTTTCAAACAAGTCCCCTGTTCTTTTCTGGGTTTCTCTCCTTAACGCACAGACAAGGCATCAGGGCGGGGACACGCACTTCCTGACCCTCGATGAGATTCTGGATGAGACCAAACTTCTCGACATCAGCATGAAACAGAAACAGTGGCTCATGACCGAGGTGAGCCCATATTACTGACATCACCATCTTATTTAACACGGAATTAAGAATTTCTTCTTTTTCTGCCCTCATGACATTTAAAGATGAGTTGTTTTTCCTCTTATATTGTTAATGTTAAATGAGCCTGATAACCTGCTGCCACCACCACTTTACCTTTTACCTCAGGCCTTGGTCAGCAACCCAAAAATCGAAGTCCGCGACGGGACCTACGGCTTCAAGCCAAAGTACAACCTGAAAGACAAGAAAGCCTTACTGAGGCTGCTGGACAAACACGACCAGCTCGGCCTCGGAGGGGTGCTGCTGGACGACGTGGAGGAGGGGCTCCCGAATTCAGCCAAAGCCATCAAGGTGACAGAGATGGACTTTAGGCTAAAACGTACTGAAGGCTGACTTAAAAAAACTTAAAAACAAATGCAACAAAAATTACATCTGTTGTGCTTTCATAATTTTTTCTTATCCAGGCACTGGGGGATCAGATCATCTTTGTAACCAGACCGGACAAAAAAAAGATCCTGTTCTACAATGACAGGCACTGTCACTTTGTTGTGGATGAAGGTGAGGATGGAGAAGAGTAATCTGTCAGTGTTCAGGGAGTGATTAAGAAGTCTTAACGAAGACAGAAATGTTAGTCCAGCTCTTTCTTCTTCTTTTTTTTTTAATCGACCAGTCAGACGTGAATAAACTGGGCTGAGTGAGGGAGGCTTTGATGTGATAGTAATTCACTCCAACAAGTAGTGCTTATCTGGAAACAAATCCTGAGGAGGGAAAAAGGCGATGAGACAGGAATTCTTTCACGTCCTGAAAATATCTGAGACCAGTGCTGCTGATCGACATTGTTTTAAGCTTCCCTTCTAATGAAGGTCAAGTCTTCCCAAAAAAGGGGGGGCTGAGCATGGTTGTCTTCTCCAAAGTACAATTTGATCTAAATAACCCTTAAGTATGCCTGTAAATAAGCTTTTGTCATTTGGATGCAGCCAAACTGTCCCTCACCATGCTTAGAAGACAATAAATATGGAGCCACTTTCCGGTGCGATTAAACCACCAGGTTTGAATCGTAACTAAAGGCCGAGTAGGGCTCGTTCCTCCCATTAATTCTGACCCACAAGTTTACACTCGGATCAATGCGAAAGCTGTCATTGATTTTTCACAGCTCGTTTTGTCCACCATAGGACTTTTTTTTTTTTTAGCTTCGTCCAAATGATTTGCTAAGTGCAGAATAGGGATCTGTTTGCCCTTAACACACATAAAAGGGTATGGCACATCCTCGCACTTCTTAAGACAGTCGTTTCTTAACCGCAGAATTCCAGAAGCTGTGGAGAAGTGTCCCGGTAGACTCCATGGACGAGGAAAAGATCGAAGAGTACCTGAAAAAACAAGGGATCTCCTCCATGCAAGAAACCGGACCAAAGAAAGTGGTCAGTGTCTTTGTTTTAGTTTTTTATCCCCCTTCTCCTCCATGCTTTTTCATTCTAAACACTCATATTTGTCCATGCACAGAAGTATCAGTACAAACATGTTTCTTTTCTCCTCCAGTTACCGGTTCAAGGCCGAAAGAAGAACAGCGGGCAGAGGAAGAGACACTTCAAGACCCACAACAATCATCTGGCAGGGGTTCTGGAGGACTATTCAGAAGGCGTGCCAGCGAAGAAATAAAAGAATCTCGGCATGATTCGAAACGTGAAAGCTGGTAGAAAACAGCCACGGACCCCAATACAAAGACTTTACATGGCTGACGTCAAAGAGACTAGCTCGTTTCCTTTATTTGCATTCCCCTCTGTGATAATTAGACTTCGACTATAGCAAGCCGACTGTAGTTGTCGCTGCAGAGTCCTTTCAGATTGTTTGCTGATGAAAACGGAAAGACACTGGAGGAGGTCACAACGGACGGTGAACGCCTGCTAACGAAACCACATCCATTTAGCGCCACCCAAACACCAAGGAGCCCAGCATGTAAATAATTCCCCGATAATTTATTTAGTAGCAAACAAGTGTTATTAAGGTATCATTTAGATTAGCAGCAAGCTGGTCTTTAATGGCGACTTTTCATCCCAGTTGTAAATAGAGGTTAAAAAGAAAAAAATAACCTCATCATGAACGGTAGGTCACCTCCCGCACAAAGCATCTTCTCCTTTTATTTGCGATTTACCGAATGTTTCTTAGCTGTTACTTTTCAGAGACATGGTATAGTGGTTTAAATTACTATTGTTTTTTTTGGAACTTACCGCATTTTTAATAAATGAAACTGTTGCAAATAATCGCCTAAAGACTGTTGTGTTGATGGATTTAAGCACCTCCAGGTTTTTCCTTGAAGTCGTTTATTAAATCATAGAAAACAGAGTACAAGATGTAATACTTTCAGAAGTAGGAAACGGCAGAAAAACTGTTCACCGACCGGTTTCGTATTTATAACTATTTACACTCGTACTTCCAACCAAATCAGTTTGGACACGATTTTTCTGTTTTTGTTTGGACAATTTAAGCTCAGCTGTGAAACTTCAACTGGTCGCTTGGCCTGGCTTGACGGTCTTCTTCAGATGGTGGTAGTTGGGCAAAATCTTCATCAGAAAGTCGAGCTGAAGAGTCTGTGGCTGTGGAGACAAATGGAGATGTCCTATCAAAGTTATTAAACTCATTACATTTTCTGAACCGCTTATTCCGAAATGGGGTCGGGGACTGGAGCCATCATACAGCCAACGCAGGAACACACAGACGAACCATCACAAACACTCACTCCTAAGGGCAATTTGGAATGCCCAATCTACCTAACATGCAAGGTTTTGGATGGTGGGAGGAAGCCGGAGAACACGGCACAGGGAGAACATGCAAACTCCACACAGAAATGTCCTAATTTCCCCAGGGACTTGAACCCAGAACCATCTTGCTGTGATGGTGCTGCCCTCCATGCTAAATCCTTTTAACAAAATGGTTTCAAATTAACACAAAGAAAGTGGGTATGACATCAACAAATCAATAAGGGCCTCAATGGGTTTATACATTTTCTATTTCCTGGTTCATTTTGAAAATGCAATCCCCAGCCCGGGTGTTTTTGTGCATGCGTATCGGTACCTGCGGTCGCTCCGTCTGGACCCTCCTCATGCACCCAGAGCCATAGATGACAGTGTTTTCGGGTATGACCTCACAGGTGTTGACCTGGCAGAAGGCCCCAATGATGCAGCCACTGGTGAGGATCACATTCCGCCCGACATCCGCTAGACCACAAAGCAGAGGGTATTTTGACTCCACCATACCAGTGAGTTCCTCTCAAAGACTAGCCAACTGGCATTATGTTCACACCTTACCTTTAGATTCTATCACGTTGTTGTCGCCGATTTTTAGGGCTTGTGACACTGGTTGTTTTAACTTAAGGCAAAATGGATTTAATTGCATGTATAACAGTTTGAAATCAGCGAACAGACAGGCTTAAAAGGATACCACAGCCAACCTCAAACACATTGTTGATACCAATTGTCATCGTTTTTGGTTCCATCTGAATGTCCGGTGTGATGTTTTCTGGGTAACTGAAATAAATTCAGAACAAACAAAGTTGCAGCTTATGTTAAAGCATTATTGGTTATGGTTTATTAAACCGGATAGGCACACTATAACAATTAAAAAACTAAAACAATTATTTTGATACCAGTTTTTGATGAGAGCTTGCTCCTCGATCAAGTTGCCCTCTCCTATCACGATGGGTCCTGCCTCTGCAATAATACGAGCTTTGGGGTGGACCACTGTTCTCGGGCCTGAGGGGACAGTTATAATATACAAGTTGTAATAAAACAATCTCAACTTTTGAATGACACGCTGAAAGATGTCTTACCAATCGTAACATCTCCTCTGATTTCACTTTCGACACAAACTACGGCTCCTGCGGCTATCTTGACGCTGCAAAAAATAAACAAATGTTTGACAGTGTTAGCTTAAATTGCTAATGGGATGTCTCTGTAGCTCGTGAAATAGATGGCAACATGGCCGTGGCATTTTTTTTTTAGCTTTACATAACAAACAATACTAAGTGGTGAAGAGGCTAGTTTAAATTCGTTTTACCTTTTCTGTGCACTCGATTTGTCTGTCATTGTGAGAGATTAAAGTGACGGGTGTTGCCGTGAATATACTCTGTAATCGATTAGAGAGCCTACCTTACTCACGTGTGCGCATGCGTCACTAGACGTTCAAATACAGCTGGGACAGTTGTGGTGGAGTGTATGGTACACAGAAGTCACCGGGTCATTATAGGATGAACATGACTGACAAAAGTCAAAAAAGCATTGGGCATAGGATTTTTCTGTCAGTTCAAAGAGTTATTTAGGAATTGAATGCATCCGTTTATCAGCGTGAACATGTGAGGATGTTCAGGTTAATTTGTGGGGTTCTGTGCTGCCTCTGAAGTTTTTTTATTTATTATTTTAACTATTTTTTAAATAGTTATCACAGTAATTCTTAAAAAAAATTCAGAACAACACGTGTGGGAGACGTGGCTTGATGGTGGTTGTCCAGGCCTATATCAATCTTGAGAAAAAAGCTCATTTGTGCAATGGCAGACGGGACCTGTATTTATGGGAGTTTAAACACAAAACATTGGATGATTCGGGGAAACTAACACAATACAGACGAAAGAAACTTCTAAATAGCAACAAGTAGGAATTTATTTATCCCAGTTATTCCCCACTCACTCTAAGCATTTTTTCGCTATGCGAAACTAGTATACCCTTACTTATTTGGTGCAGGATCAAAACCAAAATTGCTCATAACGCCCACCCTTAGAGCAACCAACTGGAGGTTGCGTTGTGATGTCACGCATTGTTGTTGATTTCTACAACTGTATAGAACAGTGCTGTGATTTACGCCTTGTTCCAGCAAAAGCGACACCATGTGTTTACAACACACGGCACCTCAAATATTTGAGGACCAAAACTGCCGCCTTATCAAACCAGCGACGCAATAACGACAGTTATTTATATATGTACTTTGTCCCTTCTCGCTCCCACTACAAAGTCAAAATCAGGAGCTATGGGAAGTGGTATATATTATGGCAAAAAGGAAATTAAAGGAAAACGCGAAACCGGCTTCCGTTCCCGGGGTAAAACTGAAAAAGGACCAAGAAATGCCAAAACAGGACGGAAATTATATTTTTCACCTTGCTGCTGTCGCTTTGGTGTTGGCCGTTTGCGCGGTCCCGCTGACAGCTGAACTATATCTACGTGAGTGCAGAACGAGCAAAGTAAAAGCAGGACCCTAGTTGTTGTGTTAGCAATGTAGCTTCTCTCTTAATATCCAACAATAAGAATAATACAAATAAAAAATATGAACCACGTTAACGTTTTCCATTTACACCACAACAGAAAATGCCAAACTAAGCGTATGTTTTTTGTTTTTGTTTACGCTACTGGTTCATGGCCAACTGTTTGTTGGTTAGCACAGAACGGGGAAGGGTTCAAAGCTGGAGTTAGCATTTGAACTTCCCTCTTGGGGGGTATTTCACGGATTAACTCGGCATGTGACCACGGGACTGTGCAGCCGTTTCTCCGCCGCAGCCCTCTCACATGCTCCGTTTCTTCCGGACAGCAACGTTAGCCGCTCGGCTTTAGCTTGTAGCTTCCAAACCCCGGTAAGGAAGACGATAGACTGTTTTGTCCCTTAAGGACTCGTGGCTGGCTATCCAGCACAGCTGGAGGCTTTTGAGAATCAGCAGTTTCTATGTCAACGCGTATTTACGAAGGCTGGGTTTTTGTTTTGCGCATGTGCAGTCCCTTCGAATAATGGACAGATTACTGACATGATTTCTTAGCCCTCTGATGTTTGGCGTTATTTGATAATGGCTGGATAGCGAGGAACAGCTTGGATTTGTTCAGCTACAGAGACCTGAAGGGAGCTGCCTCATTTGCATATTGCACTGATAGCTGCTTGGTAATAGATTTCAGCTGATCAGTACTGTGGGTTCTGCTGTTTTTAATTAGCTTTTTTTTTTACTTTCTTTCTCTCCAGCCGACTACCATCACCACCAGCATCCCTCAGTAAAGATGGATGAAGCACTTCTGACCGTCAATAATGAGCTGAACACAGAGGTGCTGGTGTCCTGGAGGTCAGAACGCTGCTACCAGGTAAGCCCCTGGGTCCCAAACGCCTTCCTCCAACTGGTCAAGCGACTCCAAATGGATGTGGAGAAGGTTCTAGTGTGGCGCTGTCATTTTCTTCTGTCTTTTAGTGCTTGTACCAGGATCTTGGGGTGGCACCCCGGGGGCCCAGCACCGGCCAGCCCGGTTCGGTCAGCTTTCCTGTAAACACGCAGCATGGAATGACGCTGCAGCTCAGCAGTATTCCTTTGAACCTGGAACTCTGCAAGTGAGTTTTTACACGCAGTTCTTTTTCGCATCCATCATGTGGTCAAACGGATGCTAGGTACTGCATCGCTGCTACTCAGAGCCACAGTTTCTGCTGTAAACTGCCTCCGATGGCTTCACAAACATCCTCTAAAGTAGAATATTAATCACTGTTGTTTGGTAATTCTCTCACAAAATCAAAGCCGAAAGAGAACCTGGATACAGAAGTAAAAGAATTGTCGAGACAGCTGCTGAAGTGTGGCTAACTTGGTTGTTTTGCTCGTATATCCCAGGGTGCAGTTCCACTTTGGGGAGCACGGGAACTACTCGCTG